GGGTGCGATATTTGATTTTTGGGTGTGGTATTTAGTAGTTGAGTATATACAAACATCAAATAATTTCGGTAAGAATCTTTTATTGTTTAACCGAATTGTATAACCTATGCACTTATGTCTATGAACAATCTCCTAAGTAATGCGGCAAAGGCCTTATATTTACCTCCTTCTTGGTTAATATTTAAGAATTAGAGAAATTATCCTATGAACCAACTAAAACATAAAGTATTGCATATACTAACATAATATTTTACTAGTAAACATGCAAAATCGGATAGAATTATTCGTATATATACAAGATTTATGTATATTTCTGCTACCTTTTTTAAAGATAATTAATAAGGAAATTTTTCTTTACTTGGTAACTATCCGGATTTAATGGGATTTTATTTCTGTAACTTTTCACAATTCTACTTTATCTCTCTAAAATCCTTCAAACCTTACGCCAACTCCAATCTTCTCCATTCTTTCTTCATTCCTTTACCATTTGCGCCATTATTTCAATATGAAGGTTTTTCTTTTACCCATTTCCTCTTCGACGAGAATTAACACAAGCACATAAAATGGTGAACTTCGATCCCTCCACTTCGAAAGCAGCCCAATTTCGTGACGGTTGGCGACTAGTTTGGCCCAACAGCTGCGTGTGGCTACATCAATGAGATGCGGTGGCGGGCTGCCCTCGTGAGTTGGCAACAACCGACGTACAGAGGGTTAAGTCAAAGACTGACGAGGCAGATGGCGGCTCAGACTGTTGGAGGTTGGCGGACAAGTTCAGTCTAGAAAAAGGAGACTCAGTATTAAACGAGATGCGCTCGAGCTCTAAGCTGCAGAGGCCTCTAGGTTCTAACAAAGCCTTGAGAATAGACAAGTTCGTTTAGGGGTTCACACAGATGGTGCTCATCGATACTGTTAGGTGAAAAATTATTTCTTGTTTTCTTCTTTAGCTTCTGTTGTGAAACGATGACAATACGAATTAAAGACGAGAAAATAAACAACACAAGATTTATGTGGTTCGGCAATGTACCTACGTCCACGGCGGAGGAGTTATCTTTTATTATTCACGATAATCCAAATACATCAATACACCATGTATTTATATTATAACCCTACAAAGTATAAATTTACTTAAATACCCCGTAATTAATCGACCCAGCCCAATCAACCCCTATTGGGCTCCGACCCCGCTACGCTCGCAGGCATCAGTCTGCCCCCTTCCTTTGTCAATATATAAGTCATACCAACAAATCTCCACCTTGGCGAATATATCACCTCCTTAGGAGAACACAATAGCGAGCAACTTTGCGAGACACACCAAGCAGGCCGGGGGTACCATGCAACTCTAGCATGCAGAAACATTCAACAAATCCAAACAATGCTTGAATTTGTCAGAAGTAACAGTCTTAGTCAACATATCAGCAGCATCTATATATATATAATTGCTAGCAAACCTAATTAATTTTACCTCATAAATTTTACCTATTTAATTTTACCTAGCTGGCACTACCCACATTTTCCCCCCAAAATCGGTTACAAATGAATTATTTATTTTTCATTAATTAGCTTCATATGTATTGAGTGACGCTTTGGTAAGTTTCAATTGAGAAATTGTATGCTATCTTACTGTATTTTATCCCCTAAAATCTAATTTTTTGTTTCCGTTATAGTTCATTACATGATTTGCATTTGTCGAAAATAGAAAACATTCCAGCAATAAATTTAAGTATCAAATTACATATCAAATTAACATCAATCAATAAAAAAAATGTAACATTCCAGTGCCTTTTGAATGAATTATGCCTGCAACATAGAAAAAGGAAATAGATTAATAATTATAAAACTAATGATATTACATAAATATAAAATTAAAAAAAATGACAAAGTAAGGATCACTACAGCATGAAGGTCAATACAGCAGTAAATGCCAGATTAATTATGAAATTAAAAAAATGCATATTCAGACGGAATATAAAATCAGATTCAATTTTTGGTGAGCATCAATCACGCAATTTGATGTTTTACTGAAATTTAGATTGTATTAGGTTTGTAATACACACGGTTTAAAGAGTCATGTTGATTTTTTGGTGAGCATCAATCATGGAATTTGAGGTTTAAGTGAAGAATATACACAATAATACACTCATTAATCATGAATTTGATTCAATTTAATAATTTTGACTTAATACAATATACACATCAATTTTCCAGCAAAAAAACATGGAATTTAATATTCGTTATTTCCCCTATAAATACAGTGTAATTTTGTTCATTTTGTAAGCACAATCACTTCACAAATTTTCTTTGAAATACTCTCAAATATACTCTCCAATCTCCAAATGGCTACTTATTTTGATAATCTTACTTTTCTTGCAAAGAACAAAAACAAAACAGCCATTTTGAGATTGATTCGTTTTTATCCCAAGAAAAAAGGATCAAGCCTAGAATTTGTTTTCCATGATGTCAAGGTTATTATATTTTTGTCTACATATCTTCGATTTTTCATTTATTTTTTTTATACTTCAGTCCATAAACTTTGATTTTCTGTGTATAGGGCGAACGCATCCATGCCTCCGCACCCGACAGCTTAGCAACAAACTTTGAAATGTGCATAAATGGCGAAGGGAGTACTTTTGCGATAAAGCATTTCAGCGTGGGAGTTGATCGTTACATGTACAAGACTACTCCAAAAAATGACAAAATGGTGTTTGATGAACACACTGAAATTAAGGAGATTTTTTATGAAGACTACCCTCGATTCATGTTCGATTTCAAGGATTTCGGTGACTTATGTGATCCAGCAAGCATTGACTCATCAAGGCTTATTGGTAATGTTAATATAGTATAAATATTTATATAATTACAATTTTTATATTATACTTTTTATAATCGATCATTGCCTATTGAATTGTAGATGTTATTGGTCGAGTTGTTTACTATCAAAGTGTACAAACTGCAATTTCTGCGGGTGTTGAAAAGAGATATATAGATGTTCTTCTTGAAGATGTTAGGTAAGTCTAAATTATTATAATTTAATAATATAGATTTTCATAATATAGATACTGTTCTAATTTTATTTATTTTTTCTATTGTGATTTTTATAGAGGCTGCCAGTTAGTTTGCATGTTATGGGAGGATTATGTTGATATTTTACTTGAGGCATTCAAGAATCCTTTGACATCCACTGTCAAAATTGTAATCATTCAAATGTGCCGATCAAAAGCTATGCATGATGGTATATAGCTAATTAATTATTAATGTTTCAAATACTTTTCTGCACATTTATATTATATAATATTAATGACTTTTTTAGGCTCTGTGAGAATTGCAAACGCCTATGAGGCAACGAAAATGATTTATCAGTGTGATCTACCCGAGATTGTAGAATTCAAAGAGAGGTGATTAATTTTAAGAGATTAAAAACAAATCATTTATTTGATTTATGTTTTTTATCTTATTTTTTTTTCTATTTTGGTCATTTAAGGTATATCTCCCACAAACGCCCAACCGAATCGTCAATGGAATATGTTAAATCATTCATGTCAAGCGTGTGTGACGATTTGCAGTCCGGTTTGGCTCCAATGAGAAGTCTTGCCGAATTTAATGCTTTAGAAGAGGTAACCACCGTACAAACTTTTTATGATTTTTTTATTAAATATATTTAACACAATGTTATGAATAATAATATTTTTTTGTTGTTCAATTATTTTCAGGATAATGTGTCTTGGATTTATGGCACAATTTTTGAAGTTGACGGTAATTGTTTTTTCAACTCTTGCCCGACGTGTGTTAGAAAGGTCGAAAGAAAAGGTGAAAATTTTTGGTGCAACAATTGCAAAGATGAAATACCCTTTGCAATTCTTAGGTATGCATACATTTATAATAAGTATTTAATTTGAATGACGCTTTTATTATACTACAAATTTTTTGAATTTAATTTACACATTTTCTAGGTACAAATTGCACTTAACAATTTTTGACGAAACCGGAGTAATTCGCGTTCTTTGCTGGGACAAAGTAGCAAGAGAATTAATTGGACTCTCTTGTGAAGAAGTTGTTACAGAGATGTTGAAGGTTTGGAGAATAATATACTATTAATTTAATTTTATTTAATGTTAAATAGGGTATTTATTTTCAACATTATTAACAATATATTACTACTTTATCTTTATAACGGCAGCATGAAGACGGGTCTGATTTGCCGCCGGAACTGGAGAATCTGATGTTCAAAGACCTATTGTTCAAGGTTGGAAAGAAGAAGGGTCAATTAGGGGTGTATAACGGAACTTTCACTGTCTCCAGAATCACAACTGATCCAATTTTAGTGCACAGATTTGGTGTTTTAACAAATCCTCCAAAGGTTGATGTTAATTTATATAGGTTATGTTTTAACATTACTTTATATCAAATTTTTATGTTTGAGGATATAATTAATTTATCTATTCCACAGGAAGCTGATTACCAATCAGAAGTTGAAGTTAACAGTCCAAAGAATGCAAATTTTGAAGATCCCTCTACCTCTTATGATTCATCTAAGAGAGTGATAGGGAATCTGTTTGATGAAGGATCAAGCCGTGACCAAGATCCCAAAGAAAAGAAGAAAATTAAGCTTGAAGACTTTTGAACAATGATTGAGGACAACCAGTTATTGAATAATTTCAGTTATATTTGCTACTTGGGTTTTTTAATTATTATAGTTTGGATTATGAATTTATGTTTTCTACCAATTATTTTCAATATTTGGCAATAATAATAGTTTCAGTTTACTTTTTCTTATTGTTTTTTCTATTCAACATGGTTAAAATAGAATAGCTGAATCTATTATTTAATTATTACATATTCAAATATTGTACTCATAAAAAATTAGCAATCTTAGTAACTCATAACAACTCCACATTTCATAAACCTTACAAACATGACCTTCAATAACTTTAAATCATGCATCAAACAGGAACTTGACAATACATATATATATATATATATATGCTTCATGCAATAATAAGAAAATTCATCCATCTAATTAAATAAATTAATCATGAAAACAGAAAAAAAATATAAAACAAATGACCAGTCCAACTAGATTAGTCAAGAATACAGGAAAATTGCAGCAAACAGGAAAACAGTGAACAGAAAATGCATCAAACAGGAAATCAGAATAAAAAAAAAACTTGTGGACACTACTTGATTACCTCAACTCTATATTTCATATACTTAGCAAACAGGAACTATTCTAACTTAAAAAAAATTGCATCAAACAAGAACTTGACAATATATAAATATATAGATTTAATGCAATAATGACAAAATGAAATATTAATAAAATGAACTAATGGACTGGTCATTTGTTTACCTTAGCTCCACATTTCATAAGAAATAACAAACAGGATCCATTCTAACTTAAAAAAATGCATCAAACAGGAACTTGACAATATATATATATATATCTTTCATGCAATAAAATCAAAATGAAATTGTAATGACTTTTGTTTTAATAAAGAAAACAGAAATAAAAAAAAAAGATATTTCAACTTGATTTACCTTAGAAAAATTCTGGATTATATGATATAATTGACTTGATTACCTTAGAAAAATTCTGGGACTATATAGTTGTGACTGCATCTGTTTCCCAGACATTTTTTCCATACCTTCTGTTTTTAAGAACAAAAAAATATATCAACTATAAAGAAATTACTAACTAAATAATATGACTACTGTGTTACATATGAATTAAGGTACTACAAGTAGCCATTCTTATATAAAAAGTAAGATCATACAAATAAAAACTGATTGTCAAAAGGAACTCATTTAACAAATCTCCAATTTCTAGCAGACAACACACTGAATATGAGAGCTTTATAAAGTTTTTATAAAGAACACTTTCAGCCAATCAACTAAAAAGTGCAAGTTAAGCAATGAAGTCTTCTTATTACCTTTACTGAACTGAAATAAAAAAAACATTTTGGTTTGTTTACCTGCAGAACACAACCGCATCAAAAACCTCAATCGACCTCAACTCGCCCTTCCTCGACTTAACCACCCACTCACCGCTCCTCATATGAATAAAAAATCAAACATATATTATGAAATATGAATAAAAAACAATTTTTTTAAAATCAATCAAAAACAATCAATACAATATACAGTGTTGTGAATTGAATATTTGATCATTTAATCACATTCATATACATAATTACAAAAACCAAACAGTTATGTGTGAGATTAACAAAAAAAATTATACCATATCAATCACCATTCATTACATTAACTACTGACAGAATATATTAATTCACTTAACTAAAATAGAATGACTGATTTATTATATATAAACACCTTACCCTTTATTTCATTTTGTGTTTCTCTAAAACATTCGATTAAACCCCTTACAATCAAACAACATTTTTTTGGACCCGAAGCACAATTTCATGAAGAGGCTAACCGGCTACAACTTAATTGGCAATAAACGTCAAAAGGATGATCTTTCTACACAACATGGTACACAATCAGATTGGGTCCTATATCTACTATCAATGTTGTTCAAAGTGTTACCTTTTTTTGCTGTTATTGTGTAACTGGAACGTGTATGCTTCGTGTTGTCACTGTTTATAGCTCAAATGGATTACTCAGCTTCTTAGATTCATTCGACCTGCAAAAGCAAAATCTGAGATGTTAGAATAAGTAGTATTTTCACTATGATCTTTAAAAAATCTTGCAAAGCAACAACTGCGAGGCACTTATCTGATATATAGATGGTAGAATGTGTGTCTTCTTTTGACCTTTTCGGCTAAGTTTGGGGATAGACAGCAGCGATGTTAAACATCGATTCTGAAAAAAATTCTTAAAAAATACGAGGTTACAGGAGATCATTAAAAGATAGACGACATGGGTCGGGGAATCAAAAGATAAACAGATTTATGAAATACGTTTTTAAGGACTCGGTTGATGTATCATTAATCATTTCTTTAGTTATCAAGTTATTTTTTCTTCTTTGAGGTGCAAGTTCACCTAAACTGAATGAATTCCTTTTCCTCCAAAAAAGAAACAATATAGAGAAACAAAAACGCTCTCAAGTTTGTCGTCAAACATTAGTATCCTATTGCTTGATCCTGACAAGTAGCAAATATTCATATTCTGGTGTAAGTTTTGAAAGTTTACGAGCCACTCAATACCGCAACATTATTTGTATAATTCAGCATTGAAAGATCAAAAGGTGACAATTTACTTGCTAAATTCTCTTCCGTAAAATTTAAAAAAGGTGACAAATCATAAAATACGTTTTTAAAATTTAAAAAAACACTAACGAAAATATAGATCTGTGCAGATCTGTTATTTCAAAATGTTATTAATTGAAAAATCGCTTTAAAATTTTCAAAAAAATAAAACTTTGTATATCTACACAGATCTGCACAGATCTAACAAAATAACTACATACCTATTATCATCAACTCTTTTTTCATCGAAAAAATGTTTGAAAAATAAAAAAAAATATATAAATATGCGAAATTTTTGTAGATCTGTTAAGATCTATCATGTAAATGTCCGATTTGAAAAAAAATACTATGAAAATATTTGAAAAAAAATAAATCTATATATAAATAATCGAAGATTTTGTAGATCTGTGAAGATCTGTCATATAAAAGTCCGATTTTGAATCGAAATACTATGAAAATGTTTGAAAAAAATAAACAAATAAATAAATAATCGAAAAAAATTGTAGATCTGTGAAGATCTATCATGTAAACGTCCGATTTGAACCGAAAGTACTATGAATTAGTAAATCGGTTTTTAAAATCGAGACGATTTCAATTTTCCATCTCCCATTTGCCTTGAAAAAAAATAATCTCTATTTTTTTAGTATCGGTACGAAAACAATAATTGAATCGCCGGTGAAACAGTGTTTGTGGCAAAATTATCGGCGAAAAAATGGTGGAACATAGAGTTTCTGTTAGTAGAGAGAATAAATGAGAGAGAGAGTTTAGCCGACAGAATTGTGAGAAAGGCGAGAGAAATGGCGAGAATGAGGTGCGTTAGGGTTTGATATATTTAAGTCCAAAGCCACCTGTTAGACACGCGTCGATTTTTAAACAATGCATCATTTGACCATTCTCGATTCTTCTGTGGGCTTATTTTTAGTTTGGGCCGTCTTATGTTTAATCCACAGTTGACTGTTCTCGATTGTTCTGTAAGCGTGGGCTTACGTTATTTTTGGGTCGCGTATGTTTAATATTAAGCGGGCTTAATATTTTTATTTTGGGCCGTGTAAATAAAAACAGCGGGCTTATTATAATTTACATGCTATAAAATTAAATTCATAGCCCAATTGTTATGTATCTTTCAAAACTTTGGGCTATTATGTTATAAATACATGACCCAATTGAATTTGATAAAAAAAATAGAACAACAAAATTATTTTATGAAACTAAATTGACCTTAATTATTGGTTTGCCCAATTTGATTGAATGGTCAATTAGCACCATTACATAAAGTATTTTGAATGCATATAATGTTGAAATATATATTACAAACTTTCATTCAAATGTAATTCATTAATATAATTTATTGCCAAAAAAATTTATTACTAAAATATTATAATGTAAATAATCTATATGTTGTGTCTGAAAATTTAAAACTACATTGGAGCATATAATTTAATTCTATCAATTTAATTATATATATATATATATATATATATATATATATATATATATATGTTTTTTATTTTAGGTATTCCAGTCGCAAATTCTCAACGTTCGTCCCAAAATAGTTCAATAACTCACATTAGTAATGCTTCTTCGAGCGGATTAGTACAGTTGATTGATCTTACAATGGACGATCATGAAAATGTGCCAACCAGAAACTTGGTTAATAATGTCCGCAATGGTAATATTAAATTCGTTATCAATTAGTTGAAACTTTTTGTTTATATGAAATATAATATTACATTTATTCATTTGCGACAAGATGTTTTTCTTTTATTAATGTTTTTAAATTGTAATTTAATATTTTGCAGTTCCGTCATTAAACTTGCCACCTCGAAAGAATGTAGGCGGTCGTCCGAGGCTCGCGTTATCTCCCCTCACAAATGGTAAATTTAATTTTATTATCAATTTTTTTAATTTATATAGTTTGACGTAAAACAAAAAAAAAGTTATATATTTTATTCAATCATTCAAATTTTGAGCTAATTTCTATTAAAATTTTATATCTTTTTTTGCGCAGTGTCATCATCAAATTCGCAACCTCGGATCAACGCAGGCGGTCGTCCGAGGCGCGATTTACCTCTCCCCACAAATGGTAATTCAAATTCTTTATAATTTTATCTAATAGTATCCATTGAATAAAAAAAATGTTTCTCATTTATATTTATATATTTGTTTTCTTTGTTTATAATAATAATCTACTGTTTTGCAGTTTCATCATTAAACTTGCCACCTCGAACGAATGTAGGCGGACGTCCGAGGTGCTCAGTCCCTCCCCCCACAAATGAGGATGTTTTGTCTTCTTTTGTCCGTAGTCAAAATCTATCTCGAAGGCCCAATAATACCCGAGGCTCATCTACATCTGTCGGTTCTATGCACTCATCCATCAACACCGGTAATGATATACTTATGTCTTAATTATTTTTTCCTATTTTTTAACAGTGTATCACCAATAATTGGTAGGATATATACATTAATATTTTTTTAAATAAATTGTTAAATATTTAATTTAGTTAATATGATTTTGCAGAATACTGGGATATTGGTGATGCATCGTACTGTTGCCTTCACTGTGGTGCCAGATTTTGGTATGCCGAGCGACTGGGAAAGCCATCTAAACCCAAGGTTCCAAAGTATTCTGGTTGTTGCAACCACGGATTCATTGAACTTCCACCTGTTTACACTCCTCCCCCATTCCTGCTTGAACTGATTTTCGGCACAAGCCCCCGAAGTAAGCACTTTCAAGAAAACATTCGATCCTACAACAACATGTTTTGTTTTACATCCATGGGAGGGAAGATTGATACCGCATCAACAACGGCAGCGGTCCGCCCGTCTTCCGTTTGCACGGTCAAAACTACAATTTGATGGGTAGTTTGCTACCCGACCATGGTGCTCCTCCCAAATTTGCTCAATTGTACATCTATGACACAGAGAATGAAATATCGAACAGGCTATCTTCTGTGAGGTATATATTATATTTTATCATTAACATTTCTTACTTACATCTTAAGCTTCGTTTTTTACATTTTATTTACTAATACAATTTGCTATGTTCTTTTTGTTCAGGAGTGGTGGTGAAAGAAATAATCTTGATGGGGAAATAGTGCTTGGTTTGAAAGAGATGCTTGATCTATACAATGTGTTGGTTAAGTCGTTTAGAATGGCGAGGGAGAAGTTGAACCAACCCGAGCATTGCGAAGTTAAGATGCGACTTATTGGAAGAAGGAATAAGGATGGTCGGCGTTATAATTTACCGTCCACTTCTGAAGTTGCTGCATTAGTTGTTGGTGATTTCGATGATGCTATGGGCAGCCGGGATATTATAGTAGAACATCGGAGCGGCCGTTTGCAGCGTATCAACGAGTTGAACGCTTCCTACTTGGCTCTCCATTATCCTATTCTTTTTCCATATGGTGAGGATGGTTACAGGGAGGACATTCCATTTTCTCTCCTAAAACCGATCACGGAGAAGTCGAGGAAATTTATCAGTCCGTTGGATTTCTTCAAATATCGAATGCACGATCGTGACTGCGAATTGTCTTCTATCCTCTCAGCCCGGAGGTTGTATCAGCAGTTCGTTGTGGACGCGTATACAATGGTCGAAGGAGCTCGACTCAGATATATCCGTTTTAACCAAACAAAACTTAGAACCGAATTGTACAGTCGTCTTTCGGATGCTGTTTTGCGAGGAGACACAGATCCTGCTTCTTAAGGCAAGCGGATTATATTGCCTTCATCCTTTACGGGTGGCGCGAGATATATGATTGAGAACTATCAGGACGCGATGGCCATATGCCGGTGGACCGGTTATCCTGATATATTCATAACCTTCACTTGCAACCCTAAGTGGCCAGAAATCAGTCGTTTTCTCGCTAACAAGAATCTCAAACAAGAGGATCGTCCTGATATAATTTGCCGGGTATTTAAGGCTAAATTGGACGCTTTGATGAGGGATGTTCGACATAACAAGATGTTTGGTGAAGTGAATGCAGGTACTTAATATTATTAATATTAATATTTTTTTAATTCATTTTATTTAAATTTAAAATCTTTTGTGTTCATTGTATTGTTTTTTACCAATTTAATTATTGTTCGCAGCTATATACACGATTGAATTTCAGAAACGTGGCCTTCCACATGCCCATATCTTGCTATTCCTGGCTAAAGAAGATAAGATTCAGACCACTGATGGCATAGATAAAATAATATCTGCCGAAATACCAGATGAGGCCACCGATCCATTTTACTATGCTGCCGTTAGAGATCATATGATGCATGGCCCTTGCGGAAGTGTACGCCCACAATCTCCGTGTATGGTCAATGGTTGTTGCACGAAGCATTTTCCAAAGAAGTTCTCTGAAACTACCACCCTGGATCAGGAAGGCTATCCACGATACAGACGTCGTGATAATGGCAGGACCATAGAAAAGAACGGCATTCCCCTAGATAACAGATACGTTGTGCCTCATAATAGAAAATTGCTCCTAAAGTATGGCGCCCACATAAATATGGAATGGTGCAACCAGTCGAGGTCCATCAAATATTTGTTCAAGTACGTGAACAAGGGGAATGATCGCGTTACCGCCACCTTTTATGAGTCCAATGGATCTGAGTCTTTCAGCAGGCCGGTTGACGAGGTGAAGATGTACTACGATTGCCGGTATGTTTCATCTTGTGAGGCCGCGTGGCGTTTGTTGGAGTTTGAGATTCAGTACAAGAGGCCATCAGTGGAACGCTTGAATTTTCACCTCGAAAACGAACATCCTTGCTACTACGATGATGAAGTTCCGATCGATCAAGTGGTTCAAAAAAATAAAAAGCCCGTTACCAAATTCTTGGCTTGGATGGAGGCCAACAAGAAGTATCCCGCTGCCAGAGAACTGACTTATGTTGAGGCTCCCACTAAATTTACGTGGCATTCAGAAACGAATAGTTGGGAGCCTAGGAAAGGAAGCAATCGGATTGCGCGTTTGTACTTCGTCCCCCCCGGAGCTGGAGATATATTTTACTTGAGGTGCCTTCTCAATGTTGTTCGAGGAGCAACATGCCATCGTGACTATATGAAGTTGAATGGCATCCAACACGATTCGTATCGCGACGCGTGTTTTGCTCTTGGTTTGGTGGAGGACGACAAGGAGTATATAGAAGGCATTATTGAGGCAAGCCAATGGGCGAGCGCAAGTTCATTGAGGAGCCTTTTTGCGACTCTTCTTTCATCCGATACTCTCGGTAGACCGGAGTTTGTGTGGGACGCCTGTTGGCATTACCTATCGGATGACATATTATATAATCGTCGGAGGCTTCTACACCACCCAGGTAACAAATTCAATTTTTTTTTATTTATTTTATTAATTTTTTTATGTTTTATCTTTCTTCTTATTATTTTTTTTAATATAATTGTTTCAGAATTGGTCTTGTCCGATGAGGAAATTAAGAATCTCGCTTTGGCAGAGGTCGAAAAGATTTTGCGACGCCGTGGGATGAGTTTACGTGACTATGGTACAATGCCGTTTCCTGTTCTCGATCGTAATGAGGCGTCAACGAACAGACTTGTGATGGACGAGTTGAATTACGATCGTCGTGCACTATCGATTGAGAATGAGGAATTGGTTGCCAACATGACTGCTGAGCAGCGCAATGTTTATGACTCGATTATGGACTCAGTCTACTGTACCCACGGCCGCATTTTTTTTGTTTATGGTTACGGCGGAACCGGTAAAACTTATATCTGGAGGGCGTTGTCTTCTGGTTTGAGGTCAAAGGGCGAAATTGTGTTGAACGTTGCATCGAGCGGTATCGCATCTCTTTTGCTTCCCGGTGGCCGGACTGCGCATTCACGATTCAGAATCCCGTTAAACCCAACCGAAGAGTCAACATGTGACATTAGCCAGCAGAGTCCACTGGCCGAACTGATTATACGATGTCGACTCATCATTTGGGACGAAGCCCCGATGATGAATAAGTATTGCTTCCAGGCTGTTGACAACACCTTACGAGCCTTAATGCAAGTAGTTGATCCATCGAGGAAAAATCTCCCTTTTGGCGGCAAGTCTGTTGTATTTGGTGGCGATTTCAGACAGATACTCCCTGTTGTGCCTAAAGGCACTCGGAGTGACATAGTGAATGCGACCATCAATTCATCCAACTTATGGCGGCACTGTACCATTCTGAGACTTACTCAGAACATGAGGCTTCGAAGCCTTGGTGGGGGTGCTGAGTACGATGAGTTGAGGCTTTTCTCGGATTGGCTTGCAAGCATTGGTGACGGTACTGCCGGTGGATCGAACGATGGATGTGCTGAAATTGACATTCCCGACGATATTCTTCTGAAATCACAAGGGGATCCTATCGCGTCTATTGTTGAGAGTACGTACCCAATGTTTAGGAGTTCGGGCGATGATCTTAGCTACCTGAAGGAGAGAGCCATACTCGCTCCTACCGTTGATGTTGTTGAGTCTGTCAATGAATACATGAGCTCATTGAACTCCTCCGAGGGAAGAACTTATTTAAGTTCGGACACAGCTTGCAAGTCAGATGCTGGATATGACTATCTTCACGATCTTCATACTCCTGAATTTCTCAATGGGATTAAGTGCTCGGGACTTCCCAATCATAAATTGCACTTGAAGGTTGGCACTCCAGTGATGCTGCTCAGAAACATTGATCACTCCATGGGGTTGTGCAACGGTACTGTTACCTATAAAATTCGATATATTGTCTGTATTTTCTTTGATTTCTGTAAAAATTCGACTGATATGTTTTTTGTTGTCCAAATATTGAGTTTGACAGGTACTCGATTGGTTATTACTAAGCTCAGCAGCCATGTCCTAGAATGCAGAATTTTAACCGGTGCCAGAGCTGGTAATAAGGTTCTTATTCCTAGGCTCACAATCATACCATCCGACTTGAGGGTACCGTTCAAGTTTCAGCGCAGACAGTTCCCTCTCATGGTTTCCTATGCTATGACAATCAATAAGAGTCAAGGGCAATCACTGTCGCACGTCGGCCTATTATTGAAGAGCCCTGTATTTAGTCATGGACAATTATACGTGGCGCTTTCTAGAGTAACGGGTCGGAGTGGTTTAAAGATTCTGATTTGTGCTGATGGAGATGCTGATGAGAAAAAAACCACGAACGTTGTATATAAAGAAGTGTTTAATAATATTTAGTTTTTTCAATGATGATGTTATAATTTTTAATATTAAAACATAATACACTTATTTAACTTCTAATTTGAATATTAAAATGCTTTTTTTCAATGATTATGTTATGATGTTTACTGTCGTTTTTATTTTATATTTTTTTTTTCCTTTATCATATAGCTCTCTGTTCGTTCCACTTTTGTCATGTTTTCTTTGTTTATTTCATGCTTGTTTTTTCCCCTACTTAGGTATTTTTCTTTGGTTTTTGGTCCGTTTCGAGTCGTCTCGTACTTATCCTTTGTTTTAGTCGTTTTTGGTCTTTTTGTTCGTTTTCTCTGGTTTTCCGTATTTCTTGTCGGTGGTGATGTGCAGGTTTGGTGGATCGGTGTATGACTACGCGAAGTCTACTGTCTAGTTGGATGAGT